ACTGTATTTTTATCTTTAACACTGTATTTTGTAGCCAACAACTTGGAAACATATTGTAGGCTAATATTTTAATCAGGCTTCAGAATTCATGTCTCAAATTCAGCATAAAAATGGTACTTCAACCAAAAACAGGGTCTGACTAGTATTATTGCATTTTTTGTCTCTTTCCTCCCGCTGAGTAACTCATTATGTCCCTTGAGAGTTTAATAATTAACCTTTTAGCTACACTAGATTACACGGAGATAATAGCTGTGTTCCCCTCACTTAACGATTTTAAATTTCAAGCCAAAGTTACAATTATTTATAAATTAGCTAGATCATGTAATATTTCCTGAAGTGAATTAATATAAATCCTATTTTGTTGTGTTTAAAACACAGTTAGCAGTGCTGCCACCTAGTGGATGATATAAATATAGCAACATATCTCCACATAAACACTTTTTTTAAGCAGTGTTGCAAACATTTTATCATGCCAATCACCCCATTTGAGGAAAAGTGAACAAACTGTGGAAGTGGGTTCACTTTCAAACAACAAGCTGCCACTTTCTGAGACAATAGCCTGAGGAGGGTGTTTTTAGGTCAAGGGGAATTTGTGCAGCACATTCTTAAGGTTGTTTAACTTTAAAAACACTTCCTTTTGGCAAAGTGAACAGGGGCTCTTACAGTAAAGTGGAGGGGGCTGCAGGTTCTACTTTTCCTTCCAGGTGTTTCCGTGACCTCGGGCACTTAACGGGATATAAAAATATTGTCCTCAACTCGTTCTTTAATGTGAAACTCYCCTTTGAGTTTAATGAAACTACTGATGTGTTTTTATTTTAACAACACACTGACAGATGATCTGTTTTTAGAAGYATTTAACTAATGAAAACAGTAAACAGTCCACTTTTTTTCTGGACATCCTCACTGCAAATACAGATTGTTATAAAAAAAAACCTGTGATTCTGTTTCTACAGGATAATGAGAATAAGTCCCACTGGAAGAAAGCCATCCTGTTTTTGAGTGTCCACGTCAAACAATCTGTTAAACACGTTCAACCGTCTCGAGTCTAGCTGAGGTATATGTTGGCATCRTTGAGGACCTCCTCCTTTTGATGGAAGTAATCTCTGAACCAGGCGATGTGCTCCTTCTTCTGCTGCACGCTCAGGTAGGGATTCCTGGACAGACCCGCCACCACCAGCTCCATGAAGTGACGAACCGGTCCACTATCAGGAAAACCCTCCTTCAGGTGTTCCTCCAAGAAGATGTGCTCCTGGAACGGGACGCTGGCTTCCTCCTCGAGGCCTAACGCACAGAGGATGCGACACTGCGTCAACCAGCTCGACTTTTACGGCTAAATTTGAAAAAAGAAAAAAAATTCTTTTATTTATGACTCACCGCTCTCATTGTTAATGGGGTACTGCCACAGTTTCCCCTCTCTGGTCCACTGGATCATCTCCTCAAACAGGTTGGAAGGAGACTGGTCGACCGCCTGAGACAATTCATTGGCAAATTCTATGTCCCATAGCGTTGGTTTAGCTGAAAAAAAAATTGATATCAGTGTTATAATTTGAATCCCAGCATATTTAAATATATTAAACTTTATCGCTTTGGACAACGTCCAGTCAACAAAACTACCATYTACCACTTCTAAAGGATGAAAATGAATCTTAAAAGCTGTTTTACCAACTGCTAATTCAGCCACGTCTTCATGGTTAGCAGGGGAGAAAATGTCAAGTCTCTTTTTTGACAAAGTTTCCCTCCTAGAACTAATACAAAAAAGAAAATAAAACACATTAAACACAAGTTCATTTATTAGTATCTTCTGATGGAAGATGTAAAAGTATTCACATTGTCCGTAAGTAGGCCAGCTCGCCGGTGACATTTCCTCGCTCAAATTCGTCATCGTAAAACGTCATCCGGTGGGTCGGCGAAGCGTTCTGAAGATTTTTCCTCTTCTTCACTCTCATGTCAGCAATAACTTCTCTGAAGAAATACAGTTGCATTAAAGTTTGAGTGGAATTTTGCAATACCGCGGTGTTAAAATATGGTGACGATGTTTAAAAATTATGACAGTCATGGGAGGTGATTCACCAAACACACAAACAGTAACATTMTGGGCTCTTTCAGAAGACACTCCATAACGTAACTGACTTGAGTTCTAACTTTAATCTCCTGCAGCCGTATGGAGCTGCCTAAACGCTCACTGGTACAAAGCACCGCCTACTTAAACAAAGCTCCTCCCTGAAGCTCAGTCTGCAGCCAAGATCGCACCCCTCCCCCAAAGCATTGTTTGTAAATGTGCTAAAGGAGGAGTGTCAGAAATGGTAGGAGGTTCTTAAAAAGAAGGTGAAGTCAAATACTTTTTGATATATACAACTATGTGCTTGGAAAATACAAACCCTTTAAAATTTGTTAACTGGTTCATGAGATATTTTTATGACATGACAGATCTATACTGTTATTACAAATTATTGTTTACCAACTTTCAGAAGCGGTACATAACATGYACATTTAGACATTACACAACAAACCTACCTAATGCTGTTGGCATCGCCTTTTCTCTGAGCCTCAGTGAGGGTTTTACGCTCCCTCAGCTGCCTCAGCAGCTCYGACGCTGCCTGCCTTCTCTTAGGAAGAGTGGAGGCAGCAGCAGATGCCGCTGCGACCAGATTAGGATCCAGCGTTTCACTAAAAAGACAAAGAAGAGAGCTTCAGATACGCTACGGGTACTCCAAGGATGAATGACTTTCCTACAGAATCAGTTGTTTTGAGGTAAAACACAGTGAAGATGTAGTGAAACAGAACAAATGTTATTTCCCACCTCTCTGTTGAAACCTCCGCTGTCGCCTTCTGAAAYATACTGACGTCCCTCTCCATTACTGCTTGCTTGGATTGATGCGGTTTAGCTGATTCAAAGATTTTCTTCAAATCCAAGCTTCTCGGCCTCTCTTTCCTGGTGACTTTAACTTTAATGGATTGAAGAAGGTCCAGGAGGTTTTGCTTTTGATTTTTAGCAGCCTTGACTTGTTTCGGCTTGGACGAAACCTGTTCAGCTTTATCGCCCGCCTCCTGATGTGAGGTCCCTCCATCATCCACCTTCAAAGCTGCCGGCTCCTCTTCATGGTTGATCTTTGTCTGGCTACCTTTTGTTTCACCTTGACTGGACGGGTCKTTCTTTTCATAGAGTCTGAATGAACTTGTGCTGAGAGCGTTTACTCCAACTCCACTGAAGACCCTAGGGTTAGGTGGAAAACAGAATTACCCATCTAAAAGGGCATGATCAGAAGGGATGAGACATTTTAGATCATTTGTTATTGAGTATTTAAAGCAAACAAAAATATAGTGCTGGTCTTTATCATGTCTAATGAGACTATTTATCAGATTACTTAATATGGACATTGCCATGAAAACGACAGAACCGTCAGTGAAAATGTTATATTGCAGGTTGAATACTTCAACAGCCCGATTGTCTTTTAATAAAAGTTACTAAAGGCTGAACTGTTTGAATTATCCTACTTCAAGCTGGCCGTTCTTGTAACACCAGCCAGACTGAGCAGCCATGATGTTTCTGTGATGAAGGTCCTGATTTCCCCTTATTTACTTCTCGGTTTGTCCTCAGACTCACCTGGAAAGTGTTTCACATTTATCTGGGCACGGCTCGTAAACGCAGAGAGACGGGATTCGTGGTGCCCACACAGTCCGAGATAAAAATCGGTACATTTTTCCCTCTGGCAAATGTCCTTTTTACGTCTCCGAGCTGCTAAGTTGCGACGGTTAAAGCAATACCCCCAGAAACTTTGACTGACAGAATAGTTCCGCTGGTCTTCATTGAARGAAGTCTGCTTTATCCACTAATAAAACTGTGCGAGCTGGTTTTGAACGACGCAAAAACTACGATATGTACTGAATAGTAAATAAAATGTGATTTCCGCGTAAAATATTTTGAGTCATGYAGATGTCTTCTATGGAAAGCACCTTGTGTTATAAAAATTTGGATTGTAGACAGTGTTTTCTGGACTGTTTTTCACATTCGGCTTTTATTTTAAACCAAAATTAAATAAAATAAAATTAAAATTATTTAGACGCGCCGTGGTGTGTTTTCCCAGCAGGTTATGGTTGGCCTCGAGTATATTTAAACATACGTGTATTTACATAAGCAGGGGTGAACACCATCAAAGAACGAAATTATGAGTTTAGCGGTGGTCTTCACAAGTAGCCTAACTTTTAACGTTGTTATTTGTGGGTTTATTTTCCAATTAAACTTCGGAAGCTTTTAGGTTATAAATTTACTGTAGTAGCATCTATGAAGATAAAAAAAAATTACTGTAGCTTTGGAGAGTTCAAATATGGCTATGCATAGCCTCTGGCTCTGTGCATAGACTGTGGAGCGTGCTTCAGCTGTCAACGTAATCTCGCGATATTCACAACCGGAACGTGACTCAAGATGGCGATAGCGTATAAGCGCTAATTCATGAACGGATGTTTCAGCTGCAGTCCTCGATCAAGTTAGCCTTTAACGTTGAAAGATGGGCATTAACACGGATAAAATAACTATGCAACACCATCATTCTTGTAAATATTAATATTTGGTACTCCTTGAATTTACTGTTTCAACTGAGAAGRAAAAGAGCAACTTCACTCAGGTAAAAAACGTCAACGAAAGCTACATTATTAGCATAGAAGCTAACAGGCATCAAATTTAGCGCAAATGTTAGTTAATATTGCATATATGTGCAGCCTATAAGAGCTCTAAAATGAGGGCAGCGATTGTTATTTTAAAAGTTGTGTGTTTTTTCTACACGCACACGTTTGGTACCGCTTATTGTGAGTTACTTCTGTCAAAAGAAAGTGCTTACCCGCTCTCATCTCGTGGAGCTCCGTGTGTTTACATACAATAATTGTTTTAGGTAGTTATCTTTTTGTTCTTTTCGCGTGGCATTATCACAATAAAACGAGTCAAAAGACGATTTAATAAAGTTTTGTTTAATTACTCAACAAGTCCGTTCTGAGTTGAGTTTTTCAAGTTGGTCCAGTTTTGCATCCTTGAGAAATGCACGTCTTGTACTAGATAATTAACAGGTTTATTTTTTTAGAGATCGGTTCTGTTTATGTTTTTATAAAGTTTACCTTATTCGGATACTTCGTCACGGTTGGATGAGCAGCAATGTTTAACATGGATATATTCAGTCAGACTGCTAGAACAACATGTAAAGATAAATAACATTATTATTAAACATAATGCGTTTGTTCGGTTTTGCGCTTTTAGTTTATTTGTATTTATGTCACGATGCACATATCTTTTTTCTTTTTTATTAGTTTCTGGGATAATTGTGTTGTTTCTACAAGCATTCACTGTGGAAATACTGTGCTTTGATAAGCTTAATTTATTGGAAATAGATTTTACCAAGTTCTATCAGAGTTGTTTTGTTTGTGTGGTGAAGTCTCTCACTTCTACAGATTTTAGACAAGATAACAAAAGTATTTTTTCCAGTACTTTTTAGTTTCACACTGTAACGCTTGATGTGACATACTTTGCAACTTCCTCTTTTCCGTGCTACATTTCTAATCCAAGCAAAAGAAATCTTGTTTCTGCATCTGTAATGTGATTTTTTTAACCTCCTGAGTTTGTCAGTAAAATAAAGCTGTGCCATATTTTGGACAAATAAAGGAATGAACTTCAGTAAAATACAGTGTTACTTAAGGTAAAGGACTGATATTAAAAGTTAAAAATGTGCTGTTATCAGAATGGTATCAAAATAAAAACACGCTGYCATGTTATAACAAAGATACAAATGGTGTCTAGTCTTTTAGTAATATGTTAACAATACTGTGATTATATCCAAGTCTATTTCTTCATTGTTTAGTATTTTAAGCTCAAAATGTTGCATAATAATAATAATGTTGTTGTTGTTGTTGTTGTTGTTGTTGTTGTTGTTGTTGTTGTTGTTGTTGTTGTTGTTGTTATTAATAGATGAAAGCTATAAAAATAATTTCCTGCTCTTCTCCTTTGTTACACCAGCCATGGCAGAGGAACGCCGGCAGAAGCAGTGTTCTGTCGTCCTTCCCACCGAGTCGATGAAAGCCATGGCGGAGTCTGTAGGAGTTGGGCAGCTACAGGAGGACAGCTGCGTAGCCCTCAGCGAGGAGGTCAGCTACAGGATAAAAGAAATTGCCCAGGTCAGTTATTTAAAGTGAACTCACGTGTTTGTTGTCTGTGTTAAATGACATTTAAATACAATCATGTTTGTATGCCTCTTTGATGTTTTTCCTCCTTTGTAGGATGCTCTGAAATTTATGCATCATGGGAAAAGACGGAAACTAACCACCAGTGACATAGACAATGCTCTCAAACTAAAAAACGTGGAGGTAAGAGTTATTGTGCAAGTTTGACCTGAAAGATGACAGCTGAGTTGTTACCATTTAGTCATTCGTGGGATTTTATTTGAACTGGTTAAAAAACATTTATTATTATTATTATTATTATTATTATTATTATTATTATTATTATTATTATTATTATTATTATTATTATTATTGTTATTGTTATTATTTCCCTTCAGCCTCTGTATGGGTTCCAGTCGCAAGAGTTTATCCCTTTTCGCTTTGCAAGTGGCGGTGGAAGGGAGCTTCATTTCTATGAGGAAAAAGAGGTAGACCTCAGTGACATTATAAACACACCTCTTCCAAGAGTTCCTCTAGATGTTTCTCTTAAAGGTATCACATTACATTATTACATTATTACTATTTTTACCATTAGATTGCACATTTTAAGTGGCTTATTTGAAAGCTATTTTTTTAAATCTACCTGCAGCTCACTGGTTAAGTATTGAAGGGATGCAGCCTTCAATTCCAGAAAATCCTCCACCAGGTTAGCTTGACTTGTATTTTACATTGAAAGAGGGGGGAAAACCATTTTAAATGTGAAAGAAACTTAAGATATTTTGTTTGCAACTTTTCAGCMTCAAAAGAACAACAAAAGACTGAATCCACAGAGCCCCTTAAGGTGGTCAAACCTGGTCAGGAGGAGAAAGGTACGATCCAGAGCAAAGGTCAGAACGCAACCACCCCTGATAACAAAGGTCAGTATTTTGAGGTATTTTTAGCTTCCAACCTTTTAATGTTGCCATAAATAAACTTGCCATAAATAAACAAATAAAATAAATAAACGTAATCTCATTTTTATGTTCTTTTGTTTCAGGGAAGGAGAAGGGTCTCATCAGGTTGAAGCCACGCAGCACTCATGAGCTTTCTGTAGAACAGCAACTCTACTACAAGGAAATTACAGAAGCATGCGTTGGCTCCTGTGAAGCCAAGCGAGCAGTAAGTCTGACCTGTTTTCCATTAATATGGCTTTTTAAAGCACGTTAAACATACCCAGATGGTACCTCACTGGTCTGTGACTGCTTGCTGAACAACATTCTGAAACACGTCTCGAGAATGTCTCGCAACAAATGTGGGAGTCGCCAGTTTTCTTGTGGAGGTTCATAGTGTTGTAGCTTAAATTTTGAACAACAAAAAAAAATGTGACTGATTTTCTCTTAAAAATAGTCTGAGGTGTTCAGTGTTGTCCCGGGCATGTCCAAACCATCTCAAGGGCTCAAGAGTTGTTTTGACGCCTGTACTGGAGTAAAAATTGGCCACGGTGAGCACAAAGCGAGTGGAGGTGGGCAATAAAATAACGTGCACAGCTTACAATAAATACACTTTTGCAAATCAGGCAAAAGTAAGTTGTGAAAAATTGTTTTTGGTCATTTGGTCGCAATCAGAATTCAGTGAAACTGCATCAGAAAATCTGGATTTTTTTTTAATTGAGACACCTACCAGTTTCCAGCAGTCACGAGTCAATGAGATATCATGTGGTTTAATTCATACCTTTGCTTTGTAGCTAAGAGGAAGCAGACAGTATGACCTAAATGTTATTTTAGTGAAAAAATATTTCAGCTGCTTTTGTGACTTTGGTTTAATATCTGTATTCTGTTTTAAACAGGAAGCTTTGCAGAGTATTGCCACTGATCCTGGATTGTATCAAATGCTTCCAAGATTCAGCACGTTTATTTCTGAAGGAGTAAGAATGTTTCCAACCTCTTTCAACCAAACATCACATTAAAACCCAGACCTTTATCAGCTGAAAGTTCTGACTCTGTGCTGTCCTTCAAGGTCCGTGTGAACGTGGTGCAAAACAACCTGGCTCTGCTGATTTATCTCATGCGCATGGTCAAAGCTCTAATGGACAATCCCACCCTGTATTTGGAAAAATACGTGAGTAAAGACGAATATCAAAAAAGACGTGTACGGTCGTGTATATGATTCTAACAGATCGACGCTTTTATTCTTATTTGCAGCTGCACGAGCTCATCCCAGCTGTGGTCACCTGTATTGTGAGTAAACAGCTGTGTTTACGGCCAGATGTTGACAACCACTGGGCTTTACGGGACTTCGCTGCTCGTCTGATGGCTCAAAGCTGTAAAACCTTCAGCACAACAACCAACAACATCCAGTCACGTATTACCAAAACTCTTACTACGGTGGGTTTTTATAYGTTGTGAGAAACTTCGAAATGACTGTTTTTTTTGTTTTGTTTTTTGTTGTTGTTGAACTTATTACACGGTTATTTAGTGACCACACCAACATAACAAAGTGCTTTCGTTATTTTATCTACTTTTTCAGAGTTTGTTGGATGACAAAACCCAGTGGACGACCCGATACGGCTGCATCGCTGGRCTTGCTGAAATTGGTGCTGATGTGAGTGAACTTATTTTTTCTATACGTACGTTGCTAACTAATAGAAAGCTGTCTTCAGACTTAGAGTTATATTTTTAAAAGATGTTAGAAAAAACTAAATCATACAAATATTTATATGTTTGCTTGAGCGGGGGAAAGACGCTTCTCTTTGTGGTAAAGAAAATAGTTTATTCAATTTCCTAGGATTGTCATGTCCTGGGTTTAGTAGTGGAAGCTCGACTCGAGGCACTAACTTCTTTTGTTGTCTGTAGGTGATAAAGACGCTAATCCTTCCTCGGCTTTCGGTAGAAGGTGCTCGCATCAAAGCAGTGATGGAAGGACCTGTAGTCTCCAACATTGACAAGATAGGAGCCGAGCACGTTCAGAGTCTCTTACTGGTAATAAAAGTTCAATTTGTACTTTTGGTCACGTGGCCTCTTTCACAAATCTGGTTTGATGAACAATCGGAGGGACTTGTCTTTGCTATCGTACCGTATGATGGCATTACTTTCAGAATATCCATGTTGAAAAAGAAGCAAAGCCACAAAACACTCAACATCCTCTGCAGCAGTTTGCAAAACTGCCGTGGCTGAATCGAGGACACCTTCCCTCTGCTGATTCTCTGTTTTTAGTCTAACTTCATCTGAGTTCTCTCATGATTGATGCCACTCTCTGGCCAATCAATGACCTGCAGTCTGCTGACATCAAATCATCAGCTCCACTCGGTTTGCTTGGAATCTCGGCCAAGTAGGTCCTAAGAACCGAGCTGAAGCGGAAGGGAACACGCGACGCAAACACTGTGAATCCTTGTCGAAGTGTTTTGTGAAGGAGCCTTACTTGTGTTCAAGAGAACCACAACAGTTGTGTTGTTTTAAAAGTGTGTTTTAAAGTTGTAGTAATTGGCTCGTTACATTTTTACAGAAACATTGCGCAAGTGTTATCGCCAAGATCCGACCTCAGCCCGACAGCTTGGAGCAGTACCGGACAGACTACGGCTACCTTGGACCCATGTTGTGTTCTCATGTGATGAAGGCCAGAACTCAAGCCGCGCTGCAGGCGCAGCAAGTCAACAGAACCACACTAACAATCACACAGGTACACTGACTTCTGCTTCAGTTCAAATAATATTTTTTTGTTAAGATTATGTCAAGCACTTTGTTTTGATGTTCTACTATTTTATGTGGATTTGAACTGATGCTGGACATAGATAAAAAATATCACCATTAAATGTCAAATTTTTGCACTTAATTTGGATTAATTTTTAAAAAATGATTCCTGTGGCTGAATGCGTGTGTTTATGTATCGAATGCACCGAGCGTTCGGCCTGAAACGGGTATCGGGACGGTTTTCACTTTGATCTGCCAAGCAAATAAAAAAATCTCCCAGGTGACCTCTGGGTTTGAGTGTGAACAGAGATATAAGAAATCAATGATTGTGTTCACGCACTTTAAAAAAAAATTTAAATTGCTGTTGAGCACTGGCAGCGATAAAGCATTAAAGTCCCCAGCACTAGAAAAAAATGCAATTTTTTTTCTTTTTTGCAGCCTCGTCCCACCCTTTCAGTCTCACAAAGTGGACTAAGTGGGTCAGGGGGGCCTCGCACTCCCAGTATCATCAAGGTTCCAAGCTCCCTCACCCTCATGTCACCAAGACCAGGTACTCCATCACAACCATCGCCTCCAGCAACTAAGTACATCGTGATGGGAACCAGTGCCGGAGCCGCCTCAACACAGCAGGTGATGGTCAAAAAAGGACTTCAGCAGTAGTAATACTAAGCATAAGTATTTCTACCTTTTCTCTACAATGTTTCACTTCTCACATTATAAGCTTCTTTTTCTTTAGGTCATCACTCTCAGCTCCTCCCAGTCAGCCTCACCAGTAACCAGCACTGTTCCCAGTGGCACTTCCACGTTACAGCCCCTGGTCAAACTGGAGTCCGGCAGCGGTCCTGGACTCACAGCGTCCCGCCCCATGCAGAAGTACATCGTCGTATCCCTGCCCTCCTCTGCCTCCTCCTTGGAGACGAAGAGCTCCGTGTTACCGACCTCAATTTCCTCCACCTCGCTGGACGGAGGGATAAAACTCGAGCGGTCCGAGTCTCCCGGAGCGAGCACTCAGTCACCTCACTGATATTGTATAGTGTTGATAGTTGTCGTGTTGGAGCAGCTGTACAGCAAAAGTTGATTTGTCTGGATTGAACCTGATTAAAACTCTGAAGTGGGATGAAGAGGAACATGTGAACTCTTGATAATGAAGAGCAAATGCGGCCAGATTTTGTAAATATCTTAATGCCACGTGAAACCTGGTCAATCTATGAGATCTACGGTGTTTCGCAATATATTCTAACTGATTTTTTTCTACTCTAAAATAAATCTGATTTTGTATGAAATGTTGCTTCTACGTGTATTTATATTTTAAGAATGAATAGAAAAGTATAAACGTTTTAATATTTGTTTTTATTTCATTGAGAACTTGGGCATTTGTGGGAAAACATCCATAAAAAACAATGCAGTGTGATTGAGTGGGGGAGCTGAAGAAGGCAGGAATGAGTGGATGGAGAAAAGTTTCAGGAGTGATTTGTGACAAAACGGTGACAAAGGAAAGGTTTACAGTAGAGCAGTGAGTTACATTATAGATATTTATGTATTCAAAATGAGAAAGCTGATTTAAAGTGTATTTAGTTATATGCATTCAAAGTATAGAAGATGAATGTGTGGGAATGGGATCTTACAATTTATACAAGTTTTATTTTGAAAGTGCTTCACTTTCCTGCAACTACTTCCGGATTCACTCGGAACTCGATTATTGCGGAGCTCAGCTGGACGTTTCAGGCGGAAACTCGAAGCTGTTAAACTAGTCCCATAGAGTAATTAGTTTTGCTGCAGATATGAATTTTAAATTACGAGCTGCAACAAAAGACGACTGTAAAGATATATCCAGAATGATAACGGTGAGTTGGTGCCAGCGCTAGATAATAGTTGTCGACTGGAGGCGTGTTTTTCTATTGCTGCAATTTTTTAATCTTCTTTTTTTTTATTAAATTTTGTTCAGAATATGTGTCCAGCTATTTGTTACATGTTTTCACACATAATGATAATAAATTGATCCACAGGAGCTTGCTGTTTATGAAAACATGCCTGACCAGGTGAAGATATCTCATGAAGGTAATTCAACAGTGAGTAAGCACGAGGTGAAAGTAAGGTATGAAAACTAGACCCTCTCAGACCTGAATGTTAACCAGGTTCACTGACATTTTATTGTCATGACAGGCAGTGCTCAGATGTATTTATTAGGTTCAATTCCAGTATTCGACCAATAGATGTCACTATTAATAAACTTAGTGGAAAAAGCGCCTGTTCTTTGAGCAGGTGATTCAAGATCAAATAATCAAAATAATAACCATGCATTTAACATTACAGTGGACTTTTATGTATTTTAGTTATGATAAGAAAACATGTTTTTTTTTTCAGAAAATTTTCAAATAAAGCTTTATTTATATATTTTTGAAGAAAACTATTAATCTGCAAGTAATAGCAATAGTAATAGTAACAGCTTTCTGCTTTCAAATCATGTGTTTATTATTAAGTAGAAAATATGCGCCCTGTTGAGGTTACATATTATCAACTTTTCAGCCAAACCTGGGTAATTATACCCAGACTCTCGAGCTCTGCAGCAGAGTGAGAGTTCTGTCTTTATGATCCAGTTTATAGTGTTGGTGAATATTTAATTTGCGAGGTTATGATACTGACTTTTTTTTTAAAGCTGGACTTTAAAGAAACAAACATCATGGAAATGTTAGGGAACTCATTTGTGCATACAGATTTCATTCAAGGAACAGATGATGAGGCACTTTACTGAGGCAAGACTAAATGTTTAAAGGAAGCACATCTCTCACAGGCTGAAAGTATTTTCTGAGGTCTCAATAAAAAGTGTGTAACTTTGTCTGGTAGATGAACCTTTGAGTTAAAAGTTCCTTGTACAGCTGCTGGGTTTGGGATGTGGAGGAAAACCATTGACTGCATTTCATCCCCTCTCCTCTGCAGCTCTGCTTCAAATCAGATTAGTCCTAAAGATTAAAACTACAATACAAATACCAAATTTAACATGTGTTGCCCTCAATGTGCTGTGTCTGAGAGCATACAGTGCATAACCTAACAGCTTATGAAATACTTGACTTGCAGTTTTACCCCTGAATACTCTGATTTCTCCCATCAGCAGTTTGGTTGTGACAGAAGAGTCACACTTTGAATCAGTTTATCTTGGGAAAACACACAAGTTAAGACAGGAACTCTAACTCAGCAAACAACCACCCAGGTTGTGTTTTAGTTATAAGTCAGGTTTTGTAGAAACTGAATAGGTTCAAAGTTCAGCAGATTTTGCAGCAGTCAGAAGTGAAGAGAGGACGATTTAAAGCGCTATTGTACTTTTGAAGGGTCCTACATTTGACTGACTTTATACTTTCAAAGGTAACATATAAAATGCACAAAGGCATGGCATGTCTTTGTAAATATTTTAAATGCACAACAGAAGGATGCATTTTAATTTTATTAATTGATCTATTACCCTTTATTTAACCAGGCAAACCCCATTATGATCCCAGAGAGAGACTTGAAGGCAACCTATTATGCACATTTTTACCTTCGTGATTGTTTTGTTAAATAAATATCACCTGTGGGTAAAATAAAAATTAAGTAAAATTAACCAGTTTGTAAAATAACATTTCTCTAATCATTATTTTTGTTATAAGAAAGCAAAATGTGTCCACTTGGTGAATAATTTTGTGTGTGAATTTAGAGCTGGAGCGCGACGGTTTCTGCCAGAACCCCTTTTTCGAATGCCTCATTGCAGAAGTACCTGAAGAGCAAAAATCTAAAGAAGGTAGGTGATTTGTTTTTCTACATCTGCAGTTTAGTTACGTGACAACACAAATAAAGCTCTTATTTTCAGACGCCTTCACTTTGTATTTTGCTCTGTTAAAAGTATTAATAATGTAATAATTTCTTCTGAGAGCACAATAGTAGTTATTTCATCAAAACTTGTTGCTTTTTCTTCTAGATGCTTATTTTTGTTGTTCTTCTGGTAGGGTTTACAGTTGTTGGATACGCTCTTTACTTTTACACATACAGTACTTGGATGGGACCAACAGTTTATTTGGAGGATCTTTATGTGATGCCGGAGTTTAGAGGTAAAATATATATTAAAGTGGTAAAAAATGTTCTGCACCAAAATATTTAATCTCCACATTATATTGATTGACATTTTTATGGTTCTGTAAATAGTATCTTGGTTTACACATTACACTTTATGTACGTTTTTCATTGTTTTTTCCAGGAAATGGGATTGGCAAGGGTTTACTGTGTAAAGTTGCTGAGGTAGGCTTTATTCCACTTCTTAGCCACCGCTATCTATAAATTAGATGTTAGTGCACCAGCTATTTTCAGTGGGATTAAACAGCGGACTGTTGTTTGTGATCAGGTGGCGAAGAAGAAGCAGTGTGTGCGACTGCAGCTGTCTGTCCTGAACTGGAATACCCCCAGTCGAGATTTCTACGCAGCTAAAGGAGCCAAGGACCTCACTGCTACTGAAGGCTGGCACTTTATTCGCTTTGATGGACAAAACCTGGACAACTTAGTTAACGAGGCTCCTACAAATTAAATGTGTGTTGAGGAAAACACATACCATTTGCTTCTGTATTTTATCCTATAATAAAAAAGTAATTAAAAAAATATCGGCCACGTCCTTCTCAAGAATAAACAGATTTTCATAATTGAATTGTAAATAGTGTTTATGGTAATTGTACTTGTGTAAATGAGTATCTCTACAAAGGCAAGAATAAAATGGGTATTTACTAAAGGAAATTAGTTTAAAAGCATATTATATGTCAGTCGGATTTATTCCTTAAACACATTACCAATGAAGACAATGTCAATTACAAATGTCAGTTACAATTACCAATGTCAATGGCCCAAGTGGCTGGGGAGAGGGAAATCTGGATCTCTCTGCTTAGGCTGCTGCCCCCCGCGACCCGATTCCGGATAAGCGGCAGAAAACGGACGGACATTACCAATGTTCCTCTCTATCAACCACTGTTCAAAAGAATGGACCAACACAAAAGAGCAACATCATCAGTCCAGGACTCTGCAGCTCATCTACAGGCCAGCAGTCACTCTGTCAAGATGTTCTCATTCTTGATAGAGAAACGTTGGTTTGAGAGAGGAGTAAAGAAAGCCATTTTTGCAAAGAAAAAATGTCCACCATTAAACAGAGGTGGAGGCCTTCGTGTCCAGTTGTCCCCATCCTACAATCCTGTTATTGCAAGTATGACTCAGACCCCTGTGAGCAAAAGATTTGAATCAGGGCCCCAATGATAGTCAGGTGATAGGTCACATGACCCTCCATTAACAATCAAGGCACTAACGATCTATTGTTTGGCTGATGGTCCTCTTTTGCATGTGGATTAATGAAGATGGAGCTGAATGTCATGGCATGCCATCTGTTCTGAGATGTTTCTGTATTTTGTTCATTGTGACATCCTTACTTGCAATAAAACTCACTCTATGCTGGTGTATGAGCGACAGATGCTTTTAAACATCTGTGACTCACTGCTGAGATTCCCCTGCATTGGACAGTGTTTTGGCGGACTCCCACCGCCATTAGCCTCGATACCGGAGGAACTTTGTTGGCATGGTCATGTTTGGACTTCCTCGAAGCAAAGGCGCTGGAGAGGTGGCCGGGTGCAAGGCACATGTTTTGGAAAACGTGTGTGGTTTCGATCGTGGATGTGGATGGTCAACACTAATAATGATACAAGGGTCTTGGGGCTCTTTCTTGCATTCAAGCGGCAATCTCTTCTTCCTGTTTATCCAACGTCCTCTGACCACGTTCTGCTGAGTCATTATTACTGGTCACCCTGGCAACATGAAACGAGGGGAGGCGGAGTCAACCTAAACAACTTGAAATTGCTGCGCCTTCAACCCTGTACTGCTGATGGGAAGAGAATTAAACTGGCTCTCTTTAACTCTAGATCCTTATCAAACAAAACACGTGCTCCAGAAATTTTTTGTAACTCACAAATTGGACATAATGTTTTTAACGGAGACTTGGCTGCATGCTGGGGATTTGTTACCCTTGTTGGAACTTGCCCCCCCCCCCCCCCCCCCCCCCCCCCCCCCCCCCCCAATACTGGTTTCCTGAGCTCTCCCAGGCTGTCAGGAAGGGGTGGTGGATGTGCATCCATCATCAGGGAGTGTTATAACCACAAACAAAGCCCTGGAGTCTTCTCCTCATTTGAATCTCAGATCTTCACTCTAACTTATCCTGTGATCCTAGTCATTGTGATTTATCGCCCACCTTGATATAATGATATTTTTATATCTGAATTTTCTGACTTTTTGTCTTGTCTCATTACTCACTATGACAAGATTTTAATAGTTGGTGATTTCCACATTCATATGTGTTGTGATGACAAACCATTGGTTAAATACACTCACCGGCCACTTTATTAGGTACAYCTGTCCAACTGCTCGTTAACACTTAATTTCTAATCAGCCAATCACATGGCGGCAACTCAGTGCTTTTAGGCATGTAGACATGGTCAAGACAATCTCCTGCAGTTCAAACCGAGCATCAGTATGGGGAAGAAAGGTGATTTGAGTGCCTTTGAACATGGTTGTTGGTGCCAGAAGGGCTGGTCTGAGTATTTCAGAAACTGCTGATCTACTGGSATTTTCACGCACAACCATCTCTAGGGTTTACAGAGAATGGTCCGAAAAAGAAAAAACATCCAGTGAGCGGCAGTCCTGTGGGCGGAAATGCCTTGTTGATGCCAGAGGTCAGAGGAGAATGGGCAGACTGGTTYGAGCTGATAGAAAGGCAACAGTGACTCAAATAACCAACCGTTACAACCAAGGTAGGCAGAAGAGCATCTCTGAACGCACAGTACGTCGAACTTTGAGGCAGATGGGCTTCAGCAGCAGAAGACCACACCGGGTGCCACTCCTTTCARCTAAGAACAGGAAACTGAGGCTACAATTTGCACAAGCTCATCGAAATTGGACAAGAGAAGATTGGAAAAATGTTGCCTGGTCTGATGAGTCTCGATTTCTGCTGCGACATTCGGATGGTAGGGTCAGAATTTGGCGTCAACAACATGAAAGCATGGATCCATCCTGCCTTGTATCAACAGTTCAGGCTGGTGGTGGTGGTGTCATGGTGTGGGGAATCTTTTCTTGGCACTCTTTGGGCCCCTTGGTACCAATTGAGCATCGTTGCAACGCCACAGCCTACCTGAGTATTGTTGCTGACCATGTCCATCCCTTTATGACCACAATGTACCCAACATCTGATGGCTACTTTCAGCAGGATAATGCGCCATGTCATAAAGCTGGAATCCTCTCAGACTGGTTTCTTGAACATGACAATGAGTTCACTGTACTCAAATGGCCTCCACAGTCACCAGATCTCAATCCAATAGAGCATCTTTGGGATGTGGTGGAAYGGGAGATTCGCATCATGGATGTGCAGCCGACAAATCTGCAGCAACTGTGTGATGCCATTATGTCAATATGGACCAAAATCTCTGAGGAATGCTTCCAGCACCTTGTTGAATCTATGCCACGAAGAATTGAGGCAGTTCTGAAGGCAAAAGGGGGTCCAACCCGTTACTAGCGTGGTGTACCTAATAAAGTGGCCGGTGAGTGTATTTTATGAACATTCTTGATTCTTTTAACCTCACACAAATTGTGACTGGACCTACACGAAATGGTCACACCCTTGATCTTATTTTGGTCTGGTCTGAATATATCGGTGACTGTTAATTCTGTATTACCTATTTTAGATCACTCAGTACTTTTATTGGACATTTTTATCTTTTCATCTTAGGCTTCTGTGCGGGCCAAAATACCTTTCAGGTCTTTTCGTCACATGAGTCCTGATGTCCTGTTCAAAATTAACTTACCTCATGCCCTGGAGTCTCTCTTTTTTTTTTACCAGTGAATCTTGTGTCAACCACCTCACTATGAATTTTACTAATGCACTTCTTGAACTATAGGACTCTGTTTCTCCTGGAAGGATTCTAAAAGGTCCTAAAAAGAACCCAATACCTTGGCTAAACGAAGAACTTATGAACTTGAGGAGAAACTGCAGAAAAGCTGAGCAACAATGGCGATGTTCCTGATCAGAAGTATTTCTGCAAGCATGGAAATACATTCTGTCCTCTTTCCAATCATTTACATATGTCTTCTCTAAGGCAATATATTTCTCCAACCTCAATACAACCAGTAAGCATAATTCTAAAGTACTATTTAACACTGTCACAACTAACTGAGGGCAAATTAACCACCTGTAATTCTTGTTTTACAGCACATGATTTTCTGAAGTTCTTTTGTGATTGAACTGCTACACTGAGAAGTCAGATTACTCACTCCACGGGTAGTTCATCTGACTGTCTTGTTGCTTCACCTGCTGTTGTTGCCCAAGGGTTTTCTCATTTTGAGCCTATTTCTCTGTCAAGTTTAACTAAGTTTGTCAACGCAGCACGGTGCACAACCTGTCCTTTAGATCCTTTACCTGCTTGGACTATCAAGGACCAGTGGTTGTTCTCGGGACCTTACATTTCGGCTTTACTAAATATTTCTTTGACTACTGGAGTTTTCCATGCCTGTTTTAAATCAACTATGGTAGTACTGTCTTAAAGAAGCCTGGGCTGGATATTGACTCTGTTGCTAATTATAGACCCATCTCTCAGCTATCATTTGTGTCCAAGGTCTTTGAAAAGGTTGTCTCCCAGTAGCTAATTAGTTATCTGTCTGTTAATAATTTATTTGAGTCATTTCAGTCTGTTTTTAGATCTAGCCACTCAACTGAAACTGCTTTAACTAAAGTGGTCAATGATCGACTGATAAATGCAGACAAAGATCGTCCCTCAGCACTATTGTTATTAGACCTAAGTGCTGCATTTGACACTATAGATCACTGTATTTTATTGGATATACTTGAATGTTTACAGGAATTACTGGAAATGTACTTTCATGGCTGAAATCGTATCTGTCTGGGATATCTCTGACTGTTACTTTTAAAAATGAGCTGTCTGCGACCGGCGCTGTGAAGCACAGGGTCCCTCAAGGGTCTGTGCTCGGCCCCCTGCTCTTCTCACGTTATCTTTTGCCTCTTGTTCTTCACCTGCATTCATTTAAAGTAACTTTTCACTGTTATGCTGATGATCTACGTTGTATATGCCCTTCTCTGTTGGAAACTGTGTCAACTTGACTAAGCTGGAAGCCTGTTTATCAGCAATTAGGGGTTGGCTATCTAACAATGTCCTGCTTCTCACTGTCGACAAGACTGATTTAATGGTTATTGGACCTCAGAAGTTCTGTGGCTTGTCCCAGACTTTTACACTGAAAATTGACAATCAAGTCATCAACTGTCAGGAAAAAGCCAGAAACCTGGGCGTGTGGTTTGATCCTCTGCTTTATTGTGAGTTTCTCTTAAAGGAAATTACAAGATCTGCCTTTTATCATCTTAGGAACATTGCCAAAATCCGGCACATTCTTTCATTTGATGATGCTTAGGTCCTTATCCATGCATTTGTGACTTCATGCATCGATCATTGTAACTCTCTTCTTTCTGGGTTACCTAGGAAAAGTTTTAGAGGTCTGCTGATGGTCCAAAATGTGTCTGTCCGCATTTTAACTAATACTAGGAAATATGACCACATCACCCCTGTGCTGACATCTCTTCACTGGCTGCCTTGTCAGGTTCAAGCTGATTTTAAGGTCTTGCTGCTCACCTACAAGGCTTTAAATGGTCTGGTGCCCCCAAATCTTACTGACCTCCTGCACCCCATTATTCCACCTCGTTCTCTTAGATCTGAAGGTACTGGCCTTTTTATTAATTCCAAAAGCCAGAAGAAAAAACTATTGGCGAACGTGCCTTCTCATTTCGTGCCCCTTCTCTGTGAAACAATCTCGCTCAGGACATCAAGCAGGCCTGTTCTGTGGAGGTTTTTAAAGCAAAGTTAAAGACTCGTTTACTTTATCTTGTGTGTTTTAATGTTTTACTTCATTTTATTGCATTTGGTTTGTTGTTGTGTTTTTATTTCTTGCTACAGTTCAGCACTTCGTCTGAAAACGCTTTATAAATAAAGTTATTATTATTATCATTATTATGTGACCAACCTGTTTGTCCACCATGTGGAGGTAGTGCTTTTAAGGCTGAGTTCACCTGAAACTCCTCAGACTGAAGAAGTGTCTTGGAGGAGAGACAAAACTTTTCATTAAAGAAGAACCTGTCCAGACAACCTAGTTTTTTTTTCTTTTTGATTTTTCTACCTGAATTACTTAGATGCATCAGGACATTATAACGTCTTCTTTAGAAGTTTTAATGCAAAAAGTTCCCTTAAAAATATCAGATCATTGAATTGTACTAACAGCCTTTTCTCTGCTAAAATTCTTCATACCTAAGGAAAATAATGAGTTTTTGATAAAACAATTAGTAAAACAATCATTCAACAGGTTAATAAAAAAGGAAAAATAATACAATCCGAAAATATACACAGTTTTTCTGATTAAAAAATACGTAGTATATAAAATAAATGTACAACATTTCTTTGCCAATTCACAGTGTACATAGAAAAACCATTTTCCTTCATCTTCTTTCAGACGTAAGCATTTCTTCCATAGTTGCTTGGAGTCCCAGATGTTGCAGTGATGGACCGGATGTGTCCTCTGATGGTTCGTTGGTGTGCATATTGACTGAAACATGTTATTAGTAAGATTACATAAGGAATGTTGACTTGTTATACAGTATATTGATTTTAGCAACAGATACTCACATTTTCTCATTTGGCGACTTGAACTGGCAGGCACACAGCAGACATGCGCCTCCACAGAGAGCGAGCACCGCAGAAGACCAGCCGATGTAGAGGCCTTGACCAATCTCATACCTGCCACACACAGTGTGTCTCATTATCTGCATAATAAACAATATTTAACTATTGTTCTATTGCTGTTGATTAGCTGATAGCTTTCTTGTTGACTTACTTTGTCCCTGCATAAAGCTGGTCGAAAAACTGCTGCGTGATGTTGGCTGCATACCAAGACACGGCAATCATGGTGCAAAGCCCTTCAAGCACACAAAGAAATTGTCTGATTTGCAAGCACTGCATATAAGTTACACATAATTAAAGTAAAATAAAACAAAAACAAAACCCGTCATGGATTCATATAAAAGCATTATAAATAGAAAAAACAATAGGTCTTTAAAAAAGCTCAGCCTTTTTATGCCATAAATTGATTTCTGTCATGTGAAGCAGAGTGTTTAAGTGTTTCTTTTTTAAAAATCAAACATGTTGATTTCAGTAAGAATGCAGGTTTTGCATAAACGTATAATATGTTATATAAAAGAAGAATATCACATATGTATGACACTAGTCACATCACGCTCAAGCAAGACAGACATATGTAGCCTTGTGTGAAGATGATCTTGGCAGAGATATGCGTATATATGCAGCTGAAACAAGTAGACTGATGCATCTCAAATTTATCAACATTAATGTTTTAATATAACATTATAGACATTATGACTTTGATTATTTATTTATTTATTTATTTCGGAGATGGGGTTATGCACCTGTGGTGAGTCCTAAGGCTTTTGTACTTGATTTATTCTTCTTTAAGTAGTTTTCCAGTAATATTTAACTTGAGTTAAATGTTTGAGCTGACACTTCAGCTTTTACACATCTTTTTAAACCCTAGTATTTATACTTCTACTTAAGTAATGATTGTGAATTTGATATTTTAGACACCACTGCTATTTTCTCCAAATTACCTGTGTCTGAATTTACTTCATAAACCTTTGACTTTAATTGAACTCTTACTAGCCCTCCTGCTGCCCTTAGGTCAAAATTACCTAAGAGGCCTAAACTGAAGACTTGTGGGTCATTTTGACATGAGGGTAGCAGGATTTTTAATAAGTAAACATTAAATGTACATTTACAACTGACATTAGCAATCACAAAATCTTGTCTATTTTTACATCTTTTTCTTAAAAGTTTATTTTTATATTATTATTTGCATCACTTAATTTACATTAGCTTTAATTTGGCTAAAAATTACTATATTAATCATGGTTTTTGACCTTGAATTCAAGAGCTCCACTCAAGGCTCTTGGTGATCTTGTATTTTGTGTGACTTTGACTTTGACTTTGACAATTCATAAATCGTCGTTGTTTCAACCTTTCTGTGAAGGGCAGGTCTAATTGGGACCACCTTTTCAACTGGTCAGCCATTTACTGATAGCTTGTCTTCTGTACACAAAGGTTGGCACACCAGACGTGTTTACTCACCCAGGTGTTTTAAGTAAAGATAAGCTTTAGGTAAATTTTCTTAAAATAACTTTTAAAATGTTATATGGAGTTTTTTTAAGACTTTAAGATTGGGGACTGGATCATCAGTGTAATAAATCACAAAGACATCTTTACACAGGCTTTTCTCAAATGGCTTTTGTGTCGCAGAATTTTACCTTGAAGTATAAAGAACACTCCTCCGACTGCTGCAATCCTTCCCTTGAGGACGTAGTTTTTTCCACCTATTTTAGAGCACTGCATCCCTACAAGAGCCCCCACAAGACCGAACACCCCAAACACGATGGAAGCGATCATCAGCGCTCGAGAGGCCTGAATGTACCCTGTGTGCACATAATAAAATGTATATCATGTAATTGATTCTAATATGATCTCATACAGAAAATATTTGTGATCAGTGCAGCAAAGGTTTGAACATGCCCAAGGAGCTGCTTCTAGATGTGTACCACTCACAAAGCCATTTCGGTGCATATCAATCATGTTTTTTTAACATGTTTATATGATTTTCCACAAGTTTCCATAAATACACACAAGAAATGTTTTTTTTAAATGGGATTTTACATCCTTATWGTAATGTTGACTTAGTGTCATTATTCACTGTTGTGCAAGTGCTGTCAAAACCCCTAGAGTCCCACAGATAGCATTATGGGTAATCAGTGACTTATTTTCAACAGCCTTAAATATAATGAATTAGGTCACGCTGTCAAAAATAACAAACCACAAACATTTAAAACATGTTTGACATTTTAAGTACTTTTCTGTGCGACAGAAATAGTCTCTTCTGAATAGAGAAAACTAATAAATAGAGAAGAGCTCCTGAATAAAAATAAAATCTCCAAGTTTATTACCATGTGAAGAACTCTCCAGGTTTATTTCTGTGTAAAGACAGGGCATCCCATCTTCGGATGTTTATGTAATATAAAACTGACTACAGTATATGATTAACACAGCCTTTTACTTTTTACCACTTGGGCAGGTCACTGTAATCGTATAAAACAGTTTGTTTGTCCAAAAAAATATTGAATCAAAAAGATGACTGGCCACAGTTTAATGAACACTGACTTCCTAGAAAGCTCTTTAAACGTTTATTACTTTATAAGTATTGATTCTTTGTCTTCCTCCGGCTGCTTTTGCCATGCCCTCTTCTATCTTATCTCCTGTTTTTTTTAAGGTCAGCACACATTAATCACATACCAGCGTTTACAACTTTGTCTTTTTCTGTTACCTTAACACTGTGTTCCCCAATTGAGTTATTGTTTTATGAGTAAAGTCTTGTTTCCTGTGTCTCAGACTCATAAAGCCAATATTGTTGAGTGAGTGACAATCCATATAAATTAAAAAAATAAGTGAATGTTTTCTGGGGTCCTAATTGCTGGAATCATACCATTTAGTCCAAGCAAAGATGGAAAATCTCGACAGTTGTGAATTCCAGTAGAGTCAGTAGCACAGGATATCCACAGGTTCTCGTAGACGGTTGAAGTGGTAATAACATTACCATCAAACGTAGACTCCCTCCAGTATCGATTTGGAAGGGCCAAGCCAACCATCAGCCAGCTCAAAAATCCCAGAAAGCAGGCCAAAGCTTCTACTATCGGACTCATGTTCTCTTTCTTCTTCTGCCCAGTTCAATCAGACTTCTCCAAAGCTACAAGTTCTAATCGTCCAAGAATCTCTACCAAACACGTACCAGTTGTTGGTCACACGTACCAGTTCTTGACAATCTTTAAGCTGGAGTGTAATAAAAACCTACAAATCAATAATTCATTTTAAATAACCCACTTGTAATTTTCCCTCTTATTCTCTTTTCTGATGAACTTAAAAAAAAAGAATAAATCCTTACCCAGCCTAAACAAAAAGCCAAAGTCTTTCAGACCTCTCAATGTCGATAACCAAACTCAACAGCATCAGTCATGTCCTTTAAACACTTTGTCAGTAATATTAAACAGTTATTAATCAAACTAAAGTCGAGCTCTGACACCCCATGTCGAATGGGATGATGGGAGATTTTGTAGCACCAAGTCATGAGTGTTGGTCATTAACGCTTGACCTTGAGATGACCTGATTTGGGGGAAACCAGGGCAGAAGAATGTTTGCCTGTCCAACAACCCAACCAACATTTTTATAAGATAGTCTGGTTTTGGAAAGGCAGCATAAACAAAACAGTGTTTTGTAATCTCTTGTTCTGAGACAAAAAGAGCAGTCAAATGATGTTTTACTAAATATTTTTGCTCTGTAAACACAAGAACTGTGAAGTCCATTGTTTTATATTTATGCTGATTTTATGGGCATTAAAAAGTCTTTCTTGCAAACGAGATTGACCTGTATAAATAAATTAAATATCAAACAAATATATTGTTGCCATTAAAAAATTTCATTAAATCAAGATTTTACAGCCTCTACCATTTCATGAATAAGAGTTCAAACATCTTAACTAGAAGACCTTTTGTGTTCATAGAAGCACTAATAGGAGTTTTTTTTAGTCGATACTTTTAACATCTAAAAATACATTTTATTTACTGTATGTAATCTCAAAAATGTCTTTATTTACATGGTGAAAACATATTTAAATAAACTGGCATCACACTTACTATTTTATTTTTTGGCAAAAGTTGTATTTTGAAACTCATCTGTTTATTTGTAACCATTTTTATAGATTATGACAATTAATTTTTTAATTGCTTTATCTTCAGTACATACAACTGTTATTTATTTAGTTTCCAAAATTCTTAAAGACGCATTTTCCACAATAACATAACTAACTGAATCTGCCTAGTCAGCTACTTCATTTGCAAACAAAAAGGTAAAACCTGAGGGTATGTTCCTGTTTTATTTTCCCCAATCATTCATCAACTCTCAGCATATTTTTACTTTTGCAAACAGTCGTCTATAAGTTACCTTTCAAAGACTGTCTTTTCATTTCTTAAAAAAATAATCCATTAGTTTCTGCTACTTACCCGGGAGAGCAAGAAGTGTTTGAAAATCTCGACAATCATAAACCCCTGTGGAGTCACTCGCACAAGACCTCCAGAGGTTCTCATAGACTGTAGACGTTACAATCACACTCTCAGCCTGGGATGATTCTTTCCAATAATTGTCCTCCAGAGACACATAAACCAATACCCAGCCTACAAAACCTAAGAAAAGTGCCACTACCTCAAGAGCGTCTTTCATCTTGGGGAGTAAATAGTCTGTAAAAAAAATTAAAAGTAACAGCTTCTGCCACTGCGAGGAGCTCTATTTGCTACAAATGTGTATACATTTTGGGAGTTTGAGTACTGACTCAGAACTTTCTTTTCCCTCATCCAGTCAAACTTGGACATTTGAACATTGATTTGCTGGCTGTTGCTATATTTGGAGTATGCTATTCCCGCCCAAAACTGATGACATTTCACTTGCCCTTTGAAATAACCGTTGTAAAAAAAGTTTTTTTTCTCCCCAGTTTTTTTCTTTCTACAATATAGATAACCTCTTTAAAGCAGTTACAAAGTTTTAAACTACTGTAATTAAAAAAAGACCTGAAATGATGCAAAGTATTTTGCTTTGATAAACTTAAAAAAAATAATAACTTACTTAATTCAGAATTAGTGTTAGTTAAGGGGGAAATGTGTGTAAATTTATAGACAATTTTCTGAGGAGGAAACGTAAAAACAGATGTTGGATGTTTTGTTGTAGATTTTTTTTTTAATTTTCTGTATGGACTACAGATGTGCATTAGCCTTAGGCTAAATCTGGTGCAGTGCATCAAATGTTTTTATGTTTATGTTCTAATTGCACACTTTTCTGATTCAATAAATTAAAAAGGATGATACTCGAAAATTGTAACAGTTTGATTTTGTCATTGCCATGTTAAGTTGTATCCCCTTTTAACAAAATTAATTGGTAGCTTGAAATTTAAAGGGGTTATTTCAAGATCCATGAGTAAATACAACACTGAAAGCTGGGTGAAACATAAAAGGATTTATTGGAGGCAGGAAGAGGGTTTTTCTATTCAATGCTGGCTGAACATTAACAGAGATGCAAAGGGACAATAGATGAATAGAAATCTTCCTATTTTAGCATGTAAATTCAACAGGGCTACTTATATTTAAGCTAAAATATGATTGCTGGCACTGTACAACACCCTGAATTACAGTCAGTCTTCCACGTATGCATAATTAAATATGGTTTTAAAAAAGCAAACGTAAAAATTACGAAGTGGATTATAAAATTTCAGTTCAACACTGTAAGCTCTATCAAGAACTGACCCTTTTTTTGACGCCAACAAATATTAAGATCAATTAAAAATATTTTACTAACAGCCTTTATCTTATCTCAGGTGGGCTCTCATCTGCCTGCCAGCGTTCAGAAGCACAGTTCAAAGTGCCACCATATACAGTTCTTACAGTATACACATTAGAGCCTCACAATCTCATGCCTGTTAATGTTTTATTATTATTTAACCCCTCTATTAGTCAGATAATTTATTTATGCACTCATGTCCGTGTTGACCTTCCTGAGTTAAAGGACAGGTTTGCATAAATCAAACTTGAAATAGGTTTGACTTTCAGCCTCCAGTTTCTCTTTTAACCACAAGTCACCAGAGATCCAGTAGCATTGTTGGTCAAGATTATTTGTTTTACGATGAGATTTTATTGCAAAAGTGATTTAGAAACAAAAGCACATGTCCAGCAAGTCAACTTGTGTTAGTTTTTTATTAGAGAACCATAAAACGTTTGAGTGGTAGGAGTCACTTGTTGAAGGGCGTGTATGCAAAAACACATCTGATTGTAGTAGCACCTACAATCAGACGTGTTTTTGCGCTTTTGATCTTGAGCTGTAGTTAAAACTAAGTAATAAATCTAATCCAGACACGTGAGATTAAGAGCAATCTCCCATGCACACTGTTGTTTAAATTTATCACACTTCTGTCTTCTTTGCTTATCTTTTTGTTTGCCACTATAGTGTTTGTGGACAAAGCTATGATGGTGATTCCTTAATAAAAAAAAGTATCCAAATAATACATTTAATGAAAATTAGCATGCCCCCCCGCCCACAACTTGCTTATAGAAGTTTTACAACTTGTAAGAGTATGTGATGGATATGACTCCCAGATGCTATCACACTACATTTTAGCTCAACGTTTTAAAAGTTGACCAAGTTTAGCAAGTTTAGACTGTGTCCTGAAAATATTCTAAGAATCCTCCTCCTCCTCAGGCAGGGATTGAAGTGCCTCTCATCAATTCAGCCTTGGCCAAATATGTCTCAATTTCCACTTCCTGCGTGATATTTTTGGATCCACCCCAATCGTGTTTTCGGGTGGGTCAAGCCAAGTATTGCGCACAAGTGATTTTGACATCAGCAGATTGCTGCCTGCGAAMTGACTGAGCTAAGACAAAACTTGCAAACTATATCAGTTGGTGGAGGAGGATTCAGCTCTAAGAGTAAAAAAAAAACAAGTAAAATAAATAAATAAAGAAATAAATAAAGAAATAAATAAACAACTCTTTACTGTCCATAGCTTGAAGTATTGTGAAACTATCCATCCATTATTTCACGCTGGGAAATGATGAAAAAATGTATCACAAAATAAGTGTTTAATATAAACTTTGATTCATATTTTTTGTTTTGTTTTCCCAATTTGAGATGAGGACCAGGAGAAATGAGGCTGGTTAATACTGCCAAACTGTGACCTTTCCTCATATATCCACAATTTCCTCTCGAGCTGTTGCACTCTTTTTCTCATTTCAGTTTCAATAAAGTCCTTGTTTCAGTCACCCAGTTAACAGTTTTGTGTTCCCCTCTTTGTTTCACACACAGCCATATTATACACAATTTACTAATAATTATGACATCATTGTTGAGCTGCTGTAGGTTTTAAGATCTTGTTTGCTGTCCAAATATTTGAAGTGAAATGCCATTTGGTTACTTTGCATCAGACTGAAATATGTGAAGAGATACAGCCTGGATTTTAATGAAATCATCATCATCCACTGGATTAAATATACACAAAGGATCACTTAAACGGGATCAATATTTCACATTACTTGTTATTTTTATTTCATTGATATTACTCGATTTTATTTCGACATTGAAGACATCTTTTATGATGACCAATTTATATGGACTGTAATTAATTAATGACAGTGATAACAGCATAAAACATTGAAGGGGGTGAAGTATTTTTATAGACCATGTAATCAGTGTTGAAGTTATATCATTGTTCTTGTGCTTTGTTTGCATCAGAGAGGTTACTTTGCATCAGTAACCTCAGTAAAAGTACTTTGCTGTACTTTTAGTACTCAATAAAAGTACTTTGCATTGGATTTATGGATGGATTTATTCCATCATTAAATTTGATGGAATAAATCTCATCAAATTTATTCTATTGTCTCCATAATGAGGAAGTAACATGTTGGACTAATTTCAGGAAGCAAACAACAAAGCTGCATTTTTCTTTGTCTACTAAGAATAGACATTTAATTTCAGTGTCTTCAAATTTGTATGAGAGTACAAGTACGTTCGTACAATAGACAATTTAAAGGGGCAACAGATTATTCTGCATCACACTTTTTTATGCATATCCGATCAGAAAGACCCTTAAGATTCACTGTATTGAGGTTAACAAGAAGATGAGTCCTTTCTGTCATTTGTGTCTCAAAAATATCAACATATAAATGACAAAATTGTGTATTTATTCTGCTTTGTTCTTATTTCAAATGTTCATCAAACTAAACTCGGCACATTAGCCGACATGAGCCAAACGAACACTCCTACACATTGGAACACACAGACACGTCCTTCTGTTGTCTGCAGGGTAGCATTCAAGGTTATATTGTAGTTTAGTTATGTTTTATTGTCATATAGTGTAAATTAAAAATTGTTGAGCTGAGTGTTAATAATTGATTGATACAATTTTCACAGAAACCTGTAACTGTGATCTGTATCTGATTTCTAGCACCAAACTGGACAATTAACTTTTAAAATTTGTGACAAGCATCATTAATTGAACCCGAGGTGTGTGTCGAACTGAGTGAAACAACTTGTTCCTAGAAGTATGTTTGGAAAAAAGCCTCCAGCCAGGAGCCACCAGACATAGTGTCTTTGTTTAACCTTCTGCTGGTCTTTTTCTTTAACCTATTTTCTCCCCAATGTTTGAAAGCATACAATGTAATTTGTTCACTTTTTAACTGAGCTGTATTGCTCTGCATATTTTACACGTTTCAGTGCTTCATCACACATCAGCTTTTAACTGAGACATTAATGTTTTATTTAAAATAGGGCTAAGCGATGTGACTGATAAATGTATCAGGATAGTAGCCTTTCAAATCGAGCTGTTGATACTTATTGTTTTAACTATTTGAAATAAGGATAAGGAGAAATGAGGCTGATTAATACTGCCAAACTGTTGACATGACCTTTTTCCTCTTTTATCAACAATTTCCTCTCAAGCTGTTGCACTCATTTTCTACTTTCAGTCCACGTTGTTCTTTTTTTTATTTTGAAGCATTTATGAGGCACAGAGGTGAACCATGAAATGTGCATGTTATTCAGCAGCTTGTTGTTACCTGTAGCTTACCAAAGAGGAAGTTGGTTGATGCCACCAACCTTGTTTAGCTGGGCCATGAAAGGTGGAGCAGCTAGAGCCTTTCCTCTGCCTACATCCCTCAGAATGCTGAGCAGTTCTGAATCAGAATTCAGTGAAAATATCAACATTCTATCAAACGTATTTTCTATTGATATTGATTTATGTGTATATCAAGATATATGTATATTGTTATTGTTTTATTGCCCAGTCTTAGTTTAAAATACAATTTTTTTTATCACTCACTGAATCCCAATTTTAGTCTGTGGGGTTGTTTTCTTTGCCAATTTTGTGCTGCTAACATAAAAACACACTATTCCTGATTAAGCCACACATTTTGATGTTTTTTTTTTTATTTTTTATGTGATTTTCCCAAACTGCAGAGAATCAAAAAGACAGAAATTGAAGATCAGCATGTAAATAGTAAGAGTGGTGATGTATTTGCTTGATATTTAGTTTTTAAATAGTTAAGCTCAAATTTTCTTCGGTTCCTTTTCTGTACCACCAGGGAATATTTATCACATTTTTTATGTGTGAATAATGCAATCATCTTGTGCACTCTCCATCGATTTGATGGTCAAAAACACATTTTCTTTAAGGGTATAAAGAATGCAACAACCACGTGTTGTTGATGTGGTTTTTAACATCTTTTCTTCAATAGCAGGTTTAATTTAAACAAAACTGTTAGTAAGAAATACCTAAATGTAATAATAATAATAATAATAATAATAATAATAATATGGTCACCTTTGCAATTACTAAACAGAAATTAAAATACACTGCAACCACATAGCATAACAGCTTAACAATGACTGTTGTAATTCAAAATCAGTATTTAGAATGTATTAACATAAATATGCAATGTATTAGCAAAAAGCAAATCTAAATGAATATATTTTTGCTCCTTTGGATTTTCCCATCACAGCAACACACACCCTCCAGATTTGGCTTCCACGTAGTTTGGATCCAGATCATTGGGCAGCTTGCCGTTTTCTCCCCAGATGTTCATTTCTCCGAACACGCCTGTCTCAATGATCTCCTCCTGCCAGGGGATTGGGATGTTGCCAGAAGCAAAATCTTTATAGAACTCTGTGTCCTTATCATCCAGAACCACACCTTTGATGGTGCTGAAGGCACCCACATCATCGAGATCTTTGGCATAGACAGTCTTTGGGTCGGGTACAAATGGAGGGGGTAGCAAACCTGTAGTTGAAAGACAAAGATACAGTTTGTAGTTTAGTTTTAGTTGTTTTTTTATGTCATTCATGTTTTGTTGTGGAACTTCGTTGGGCTTTTTTTATTATTATTTTCTGCTGATGACTTTGTCTATCACCTGCTTCCAGACGGCCCCAGTTAATATCCCTGAAGAATGGATGACATTTCAGCTCAGCACACTCATTATTTTTAAACCCGAGCCGTTTTGCTGGGTTCTTCTCCATCAGACCCTCACAGAGGTCCTTGCATTCTTTGCTGAAAGTTGATGGGTAGGAAACCGGATCGTTCAAGATTCTTCGAGCCACCTCATCGTTCTCCACCTAAAAGTAAAAGGGAGAACATTTTAACCTGACTTGGCCTCATGGAAGCAGATGACCTGAGCACCTGGAGAAGAGACAACAGACTGAGACTCAAACCTTTTCTCCTCTAACTCTAAAGGGTCCTTTGGCTGCGATCATCTCATATACTGTGACCCCCAAAGTGAAGTAGTCCACTGTGTAGTCGTACTCCTTCTTCTGTATGAGCTCCGGGGCCATAAAGCCTATAGTGGATAAGATATTATACTTAAAAGACTGAAATGGACTGATTTCATAGAACAAAGTTTAATTGGACCAGAGGTGAGCAATGTTTTATTTCCAAAGAGCAATGGGAATCCTTACCCATGTCCACCAGGTGGATTCAAACTAGGCTTTAATATTGATTCTCTTATTTATTTGCTACCATTTCTCCCCAATTTGGACCAGAACTTGTAGCAAAGATGTTCGAGAGTCATCAAAGCCTGACTATGTGGTGGGGAGTACTATCAAGGAAAAATGCACCAGAAGATAATCCAGGTGTAAGTTGAGTCAGATCCTCTGGATGGGTTCTTCTTTATTGAAACATGTTGTCTCTTCTCCAAGAGACTCTTTCAGTCTGAGGAGCTGCAGGCAAACTCAGCCTTATAACTAATACCTTCACATAATGGATCAACCAGTTTGCTGATGACACCCAAAACTTTTTCACATGTAAAAGGGGAACTATCAGTCAAATGACTGATCATCAGTGCCCTGATGGCTGCTTGTTTCTCACAGAGGACTGAGTCATACTTGCAATAACAACATTATAAGAGGAGGACATTTGGATTGGGAAGCCTCCACCTCTGTTGAACAACATCACAAATCTTCATTTGCTTCTGTCTTGAATCAGATTTTCTCCCTATCAAGCATTTGTACACTAGAAGATACAGGGGTTAGACAATGAAACTGAAACAACTGGTTTTAGACCATAACATCCCTTTCAGACAGCTTCCTCTTGCATCCAGTTAATCCTGTTGGATGTGGTTCGTCCTTGGTGGTATGCTGACATTACCCTGGATAACGTGGTTCTTGACACATCACAAAGACTTGCTGTCTTGGTCACAGATGTGCCAGGAAGACTTGCACCAACAATTTGTCCTCTTTTGAACTCTGGTATGTCACCCATAATATTGTGTGCTTTGCAATATTTTGAGCAAAACTGTGCTCTTACCCTGCTAATTGAACCTTCACACTCTGCTCTTACTGGTGCAATGTGCAATTAATGAAGACTGGCCAACAGCCTGGTCCAATTTAGCCATGAAACCTCCCACATTAAAATGACAGGTGTTTCAATTTCATTGTCTAACCCCTGTAGTTGTCTCTGAATACCACAGTTTGGACCTAGTTGGGGCGTGGGCATACATAACTTTTATAAAATTGTATTTTTACATATTTGTCAAAACTGTCACCATGTCCTGACAGTAGAATATGAGACTGATGATCTATGAAAAAAATAACTGTTTTATGTTTATTTGATATCAAGTGGCAGTGTTGTTCCACTGGCTCTTTTTCATGGGTGACAGATTATAGCAGGTTTTCATTTGGTTCATTTGTTGTTTTTTGTTTGTTTGTTTGTTTGTTTGTTTGTTTGTTTGTTTGTTTGTTTGTTTGTTTGTTTGTTTGTTTGCTTGTTCTTTTTGGCCAGTTTATGTACTGTTTACCTGGAGTTCCAGCGTATCCTGTAGTTTTGTCTTTTCCTGGTGGAAGCTCAACAGCCAGACCCAAGTCTGACAGACGGACGTGTCCTGAGTGAGAAAATGTTTATTTGACTTCAAATAAAGGAAGTTCAAACAACAACAACAAAATCCTTGCTTTAAATCAACACAAGGATTTTGCACTTTAATTGAGTTATATCCTATTTAGATTCAAGTGAACTATGACTGACGTAAAGTCCCAAAATTGTTATTGTTTCTTGCTACTTGCTTTGTCTTTAGAGCAAAATCATTGCTTCAGCTGCTGTGGAGCTACAACCCCACACCCACTTATAGCTCATTACCCACTTATTGTTAAATTAAATCAGAGGATGGTATCGTGACATTGGGCCAAAAGCTGAAAGTGTTCACCTGTATCGTCCAACAGCACGTTCTCCGGCTTCAGATCTCTGTAGATGATTCTGTGCTGATGCAGGTGCTCCAGCCCACAGATGATCTGAGCTGTGTAGAAACCAGCTCTCTTTTCATCAAAACCAGGGTTTTTCTCATCCACATTATACATATGAAACCTGAGGGAAAGGTAGCAAGTTTAGTGTTTTATAGCACATGTAAAGGGGATTATATAAGTACATTGAGAGTCTTTAAATTAATTGTTTGGTTTTTATTCATATTTATTTTTTTAAGTTTTTTAATTTTTTGTGGTAATGAGCACCTGAGATCTCCACCGTTCATGATGGTCATGACTAGGCAGAGGTCAGTCTTGGTCTGGAAGGCATAAGCCAGCGTCACGATGAAGCGACTGTGAACTTTTGCAAGGATACGCTTCTCCACAATGGCTCCCTAAAACATAAATCAAACATCAGCTGAATCATTCGGTGTCATTAGTTTCACTAAACTGTGCACTCTCTTCACTTCACTGTGAAACCTAACAGGCTTTTATCCCCATCAATCATTTTAAAGACTTCCATGAATGACTCATCAAACTTCAAATGAAGAGGTGACACATTTACGAGCTCTTTTCTTTGACATTTTGTAAGTCACAAACTTCTGTTTAACATTACAAACACATAATTTGTACTTCATTTATCCTCTGATATAAGTACGACTTGAGGTGTTTTTGTATCACTGCTGTGATTCACGAGATGCACACTATGGTGTGTTCAAGAATAAAACCCTTATTAGATAAGCTTAAAAGTGGTGGAAGATTAGTCATTGGGTCTTTGTCCTAGAGATGGGAGTTTGAGTCACAGTTTGTGTTTTTSAGATCTTTGGTTGATTTTAGGCAGAGTAACCACACTGATTGTAGTTAGGAAAGCAAAAACAAGGTTTCCTGCATAATTTACAAAAAGTATGAATGATGAGTTTAAAGAGAACTTGATAAAATAATGAGCCGTCAATTAAAAACCTGAAGCCGAATATCTTTAACTTGTTACTTTGTGACATTTTATACTTTCAAACAAATCAAAGTTTCTTTGATTTCTAAACAAAAGTCACAGAAAACTAATTTTCTTTATGAAATTATGTTTTCTGTGGTGAAGATCTTCACTATTCTTCAACAGCTTCACATGAAGAACTAACCCACCAGTACAGGTACAATCATTTAGTGGCCTCTGGGCTAAATATGGCTCGAAAGCTGCCTTAGCCAATTAGATTCCTGGCTCAGATCATGTGATCAGATCCAACTCAGAATCACAAACAAAGCAATGTAAGGACCTAAAGTGAAATGCCCAAAGACACTACAGCTGGTTAGCTCAGTATGATGTCAGAAGCACCAAGAAGCCAGTGATGCATAGGATGCCATTTTAGGACTATAGACATCAGCAAAACTTTCCCAGTGATCAAATTAAGTCTAATTTTAGCCTCAATATTTTTAGAAAATTTAGAAATGTAGCTATCTGGTGTCCTTGGGACAAAATGACCCATAAGGTTTCTCTTTGGCCTAGATAATTTTGACCACAGGCAGCAGAAGAGGTAAACACATTTTCAACTAAAAAAGAGGCTAAAGTTACTAAGGTCAAATGAGCGGCCCAAAGCTATCAATATTAGTATCAGTTAACTAAACAGTTTTACTGTTGTAATGCTATTTGAGCAGTACACTGCAGATTCATTTACTGTTGAAACAGTTTCTTCAAGTTTGTGAATAATGCAACTTTGCTCAAGTTAAAGTAAAATACATTGTTACTATTGCACTACATGCTCTTATATTCTATTGGTGGTACATTCGTTGAAACATTAAACTTTAATGATTGTCATGTATTTTGTTTTTACGTGATCTTGCCTAGCATTTAACATAATGTTTATAGTTTTGTTTTGTTTTAATGTTTATCTACTGTGATGAATACAATCACAACCAAAACATGGACAGTTGTTTACCACATTGGCCCACATCATACCCGCTTCAATTTTATCTGTGGTAGTAAACATCTAAAATGAAGTAAAGCTGATTTTGATACATTTTAAATAATTATTGTTTAGAATTTTTGTGGTTCGTAAACTCAGACTTTTGAAGCGATGGGACTACAAGATTTTGTGACTCACACAAGGACATTTTGAACCCTTACAAACTATTTTGAAAAAACTTTGATGTTTCCTTTGCAAATACTGTTTTCCAATTAGCCACCAACGCTTGCAGCCCAGAGAGATTCTACCTTTAATATAGTTTTTCCATGCTCTGAATAACCTGTTTTGCAGGTTATTCTCAGGATACGAGAACAATCTTATATGACCTAGTTAACTTTAACGGACACACTGCCAGCATCACCTCGTAGCCTTTGCGCTTCTTCAGCCTCTTCTTCTCCAACTTCTTGTTGGCGTACATTTTGCCCGTAGCTTTCGCCTGACAGGCGAACACTTGCCCAAACCCTCCTTTGCCCAGGACCCTAAACTCCATGAACCACTCCTCATCAACTGGCTGACTCTCCAGCCATTTGAACTGAACAAAACGCAGAAAGTACATGCTTTTCTTAAAGCCATCTAAGGCCTCCTTCTCCAGGTGTTTGAGCAGCTGCTTCTCGCTCTCTTTGAACAGATCGCCACGTGTGTTCTTTAGGTCTTCCTTGACTCGAATTATGGCCTTCTCCTCAAGGAAACTGCAAAAACTTTTTGAAGAGGACTCGTAATATAAGTTTGTAATTTTTCTGGCCTTTTGCAGTCTGTCGCTTTCTGGACATATAACGTATTCTTCGATGTCGTTCCACAGCTCTCCTGCAGTTTTAAGGCTGGCGTGACTCTGCAGGAACTGCTGGAAGAGGCGTTTGCCAATGGGCTGTTTGACACACATGCTGTCGAAGGTTGAGTCCACGGTCGTCTTCATGTGTTCGCAGTCTCTGATGTTTGGAAGTTTGAGCCTGGCGCGCATCTTCTTGTCACGCATGGCAGCCGCTGCAGATCCGTCCGTACCACCACGGGCCGACACGTAGGCTGAGTTTGCCACAACAGTTTCCAGACCGCCGATATCCATGATGACAGCTTTGTCTGGAACAAACGAAACCAGGACAGATTGGTTATATTTACTAAAACAGCAATGTGTAGTAAAAGTAAGTATGTTATGGTCAAAGTAAAAGTTAAGAGACTCAAAAAAACAAGAATAAAACATTCTCATAAAGTATATTCAACATGAGTTGTAGATCCAATAATTACTGAAAGCTTTATTTAAACCAACCCTGTGGTTCATGAGCTATTTAGCTAACAGACACCTCAACACATGCGTTCATACAGAGGTAGGCACAAATATTACTTCCCAGTTATTTATCTCTAGTGGAGTCATAAGATTGCATAATTCACTGTCACATGGTTATGGATTAGGATTTTCTCACAGCTACATTGTTGCTTGCAACAAAATTACTCAACWCTTTCCATTTCCAAAAACTCTGAAAACAAGCAAAATTGAAGTCTATAAAATTTTCTCTCAGCGCAAGTTTCTGTATATGATCTTGTTAAAATAAATAGTGATGTTCGTATTTAAAATATGCCGTTCTTATCAACAGAGTTCTATTGGAACATGTTCTGATAGACATGGAGAAATAATATGGTCCTATTCCTCCTCTRTGACCTCAAACAGCCAATGTGAATCCCTTTGGGACTTGTTAGTTAAAAAGTAAAGATGATGAAGTCAAGTTACCTGATTGTACATAAGGACGTTCTGTTCCAAACTAAGATAAGAAAATGCTTTGTTTTTCACAGAATCAGCCTCTTACAGTGATTTATCACAACCTCAGGGCTCAGTTTTGTCTCACGTTTAACTGTCCTCCCCACATTTTATTGTCCACCTTTAATGATAACAGGTGTGTGTCTGTCAGCAAACTGTCCCTTGAGCCACTGGATGAATTTTATTAAAGCTGTTAGAAAGCATTGACTGGTCAAGATGGTTGCCACAGCTAATCAGCTTTAGCCAACACAAAACTGTCTTTAATTCAGTTTTACAGACACTGAGATACGTTTTGGTATGGTAGTAGCTGAGAGTCATCTTCAGCACAAACAGCAATAAACAGAAATGTGACAGCCTGAATGGCCTCAGCTCTACATCCTTATCTGCACCTGATCTGTCAGTTGTCTTTATTTACAGCTTTAGATCTAATACTGCAATTTAGCAGGAATCTTTTCCTCACTTTAATACTTGCTGATGAACAGTGCAGTGCAATACTGCACTCTGCTGTTCAAATGTTAAATGTGAATAAAGAGATCTGTGCAGAAGTGTTCAGTGATGTGCTAGGACAGGATGTAAATCTCTTAAGTCAACCTTTGATGGATTTATGTGGTTAAAAGCTTTATCTAAATGCAATTAACTCAGCTAATGAAGTTCTCTCCCTCTGTGACTGCTTTTTATGTTAATCATTTAAATCTCCTGCAGAGACACTTTGAGGTTTAAGGAAAAGAAACCTCCCTGCAACTAAATAGGATATGAAATGTAAAATAGATCAAATCTGTCTGATGGTATGTTATCTATACTTAGCACAAAATGTAAGGAAGTTTTTGTTTAGTAGATTATGTCTTTGTTTTAACAATGCTTCTTGGGAATAAATCTTATACCGCTGGAAAGCCTGTTTGAATCCCTTTAAAACAGTGTCACATCTGTAAGGAACATGCATTTGTGGGATGAGAAGTACAGCTGAGTATGTGGGTTGCGCACATGAAAAATTGGGCAAATCTTTTCTGCCAAAAAGCTTGTTTTGTTGCTGCTATTGACACTTGTTTTGAGCTTCTGGTACCTCCAGGTGCTGCCAATCAGGTGCCCCGTACCAAGAAGCCTTGTTACAACAAAGAAACAATCTATTAAACACAAATGTCTTTACGTTCTGTGCTAAGTTTATAAGACGCTTCATTCCTGACCTGTTTGCACGTACAGCAGAAAGTGACACTGTTGGCTCCACAGATGCTTCCCTCACCTCACATAATCCATTTAACACTGACAGTTAATACCACAGATCGACACACGAACACACACCACCAACACTTCTCCTCGTCAGCAGAGGTGTAGTAATTAAGTACATACTTTGTTACAGTACTTACGTAAATTTTTGAGGATTTGTAATTTTACCAAGTATTTTTTTATTATTAGGTAATTTTAACTTTTATTACTTTGAATTCAAAACATAAAAACTTTTTTACTTAAAATTTACAACCTTACACATTACAAATTTAAATATTATCGGAATTCATCATGAAAAGAATTGTTTTTGATTTTTACCAAAGTCATTGTCTGTTAAGTTATTTAAATTTTTCTGAATTATTTATTTTAAAAAATTTATAGACCTCTGCTTGTTAATTGCACCTCATCTATAGATCTATTTTTACCCATTTTATTCTCAATGCAAACTGATTAAACCCAGATTTTGTGACTCCTAAAATGTCAATAGGAAGTTTCTGTAATGGTGGAGGTTTTGATTCTTTTGACTATTTTATAAAGAAATCATTTTAACACTATACTTGATGGTTGCATGTTTTGTTAATGTGTAAAATATGTGGTAAAACTGGTAAATAAATCACAAAATTAAAAAAAGTTCACATTTTGATTTTGCAAATATATTTCATCATCAGCGCATCACAATAACCTGTTTAATAAAACTCCACTCACCTTCACTTCTCGCTGCAGTTGGCTGTAAAATTAAGATCTAAACACAACAAATTAACTTGAACTGGAAAGCATATAACAAATACGTTCCCCTGGTTAAGAGCTTCTTCTTTTCTTCAGTCATTCAGACCAGGTAAAAGTCATCTCTGTCCTCTTGTGGGTGCTGAACATTTTTACTCTTTTGTTTCTTATCCTTCAGTGTGATGTGATAAGGTTTGAACTTCAGGCTGAGGTTTTTACTCTGCACCTGAAATCCTTCTTGGCAGTTCACCGGGTGGTTGAGGATTACAGCCGGACATCATGGAGGGGAGGGGAGCTGGCATGCACATCTGATGTAGCAGAAAAGCAGAACTGATGATGATAAATTCTCCTCAGATGGCTTTAGTGTGTTTGACATACATACTGTATTTAGTTTAAAAAAACTGTTTAAATTATATTTAAAAAATGTACAATCGTTGACTGATTTTTGGCAGGTTTCACTGTCCAAACTTGTATTTATGTGATTCTAAAATGCTTTCACCCATAAAACGACTACAGATTGAGTTCCTTTTTGCATCCCAGTAATGACTAAGGGTCAGTCCAGCTCAGAGGCCGGCTGCGGATCAAACATGGATAATCTGCAGGTGGAAGTAAGAGCACAGCAGGGACAACGTAAAGTAATCTTTGAACTACTTTCTGTCTGCATTTACCTCCACTTGGTTTTTCACGGAACTACACTGGTTCTGTTCTCACCAACGTGGCCTACTTAGGTGTTCAAAAAGAGAGAGATCAGTATTAAGTGGGTACGTTTCAGGTGAGAGGATTTAGTGGGCAGTGGAGGAAACGAAGAAGAAGGATTTAGATCATGTAGCTAAAGAGGACAGACTGAGTGAAACTACAGAACAAGCACGGCTAACGGATACAGGCCATCGAGGAGAAAATAGACAGGATTTTAACTTTAATTTACAACTTTGATAACTTGTAAAGGCAGACTGTCAGTGCTTTTAACACGTAATATAAAACTATTCTTGTAATTGTTCAGATGCATCTTAGTAATCCAGGTAAAAAATCAAAAAGAAAAAAATTGTATACATCTTCTGGACGGGTTCTTCTCTAATGAAACGTTTCGTCTCTTCTCCAAGAGACTTCTTCAGTAAGTGTTAATTAGGTGTCAACGATAGCCATGTGATGTGAGTATCAGTCACATGGAGGCAGGGCTTAAAAG